GCGGCTTGAGAAATCTCCAGCGATTCCAGAAGGCGCCCTGTCTCCGACATGTCGGGTGAGACGCGTCAAGGTTTAGGGTTTAGGGTTTCGGGTTTAGGGTTTAGGGTTTAGGGTTCAGGGTTTAGGGTGTAGGCTTTAGGGTTTAGGGTTTAGGGTTTAGGGTTTAGGGTTTAGGGTTTAGGGTTTGGGGTTTAGGGTGTAGGGTTTAGGATTAAGGATCCCTGATATAAGGACTCTCATTTTGGGAGTTTACCCCACTTAGCTTCATCCCACCCTTGGAGCCCTTTGACCGGCAGCAAAAGAATTTGCATCAGATGACGCCGTAGGGAAACCGTCCCTTTCAGCTTCCCATTGGCCCAAGGCGGGTCTGCCTATAGTCTCCATTGTAGTTCCTTTTCGTGGGCTTAACCAGCTTGATATTAAGGATCCTAAAAGGTAACCCCAAAAGGAGCTACAATGGAGACTGGAGGTAGGGTTCAGGGCTTAGGCCCTAAACCCCAAACCCTAAACCCTAAACTCTGAACCCTAAACCCTAAACCCTAAACCCTAAAACCCTAAACCCTAAACCCGTTCTGCCACTCTGCCCACTGGGAGGCAGCCTTGCCTTGACTATCCCAGCAATCCCTTGGCCCTTAAGGCGGGGACGGACGGTCCTTGCCTTTGTCCTTCCCCGGGGTTCAGAGCAAACAATGTAGGGGCCTACATAATTACCTATACTATGTTGGGGGGTTCCTATACTATACTTATAGTATGAGGGGCCCCAAAACCCTATTCTAATTGTTAAGGCCCTATATTATAGAACCCTTACAGTAACCATTATAGAGCCCTTTTAAAGGAACCCTGCCCCAAAACCCTATTCTAACTATTAAGGCCCTATATTACCCCACCATCCTGGCTGTGATCCTCGCTCCCGCAACTGCGCAGAGCCGTTCTTCTAACGAAGGGACTTCAACGACCAAAACAGGCTTTGGTGGTTTGCGAGTGCTATATTTAGGGGTTTAGGGTTTAGGGTTTAGGGGTTAGGGTTTAGGGTTATTACAGAGAGTACAAGTATACAGGGACGATAAGAGGATGGGCAAGACTGCAGAAGCCAATCCCAACCAGAAGCTTTCAAGCTCAACCACGTTAGTAAACGCCCAGAGCCCCCGATCCTTTTAACACTACAGCCAAATTTTGTGAAGGCCCAACACGCTGAACCCTAAACCTCTAAACCTTAAACCCGTACTACCTACCCTAAACCCCTCAACCCTAAAGGCCCTAATCCCTAAATCCAGCCTAAAGCCTATAAACCCTAAACCCTAAACCCTTAGGCCCTAAACCCTAAACCCTAAAAATGTGGAAGTCCCAAATTTCCACCCTATAAACCCTAGACCCTAAACACTAAACCCTAACTCCTAAAAATGTGGAAGTCCCAAATTTCCAACCTCTAGGGGATCTGGCAAAAGGAAGGCCGCGCAGCGAGGCATCCCGGAGCCACAGGTCCGTCCTTCGACATCGACGTAGGTGTTTAGGGTCTTTCGGTTTTAGGGTCTTAGGGTTTTAGGGTCTTAGGGTTTTAGGGTTTCAGGGTTTTGGGGTTTAGGATTTAGGGATTCAGATTTTGTTGTTTAAGGGCCCTTTTTGCGTCTGCTCATGTCTGAGCCCAAGAATCCTCATTCGAGGAGAGCTTTGGGGATGTGCACTTGTTACACGTATCCCAGGGTTTAGGGTTTAGGGGTTAGGGTGCATAGGGCTTATAGGGTTTACAGTGATTGGGGTTTACAGAGCATGGAGGCTCGGGGGGCTTGCGTTTATAGTCTACCTATAGTCTCCATTGTGGTTCCTTTTTTGGTTTAACCAAATATATATTAAGGATTTATCAGGTATCCCCAAACAGAAACTACAATGGAGACTATAGGTAGGACGAAAGGTTTAGAGTTTCTGGTTTTGTGCGTAGGGCTTAAGATGCAGGCGCGCGTAGGATCAAGGGCTGGTGTAGGGATTGAAGTCTTACCCTAAGGGTCCAAGTACCTAATCATCATATACTCTCCCAAACCTCAACGAACGAAAAACTAAGATCCGAAACCCAGGTACCCTACGTTTTGGGTCCTGTGGACCCTTAGGGCTAGAGTTTGGGAATTGCGGGTTTGGGCTGTATCGAAGGACAAGCCTGACATACAGGAGACAATTAAATACTTGCACATATGGTCACAGAAGCTTCGCAGAGGTCAAATAATTATGGGAATTACGGAACCCTAAACCCTAAACCCTAAACCCTAAACCCATGTGAAGTTCATCCCGAGGGCCTAGAGGCATGCGCGAATAACCTAGGTTTTTCAGGTTCGGCCGTGCAAAATCAGAGCAGGAAAGGCCCCTAAACCTGAACACCTCAACAGTAAGCAAGACGCCATGATACCCCTCAGCCCTAAACCCTAAACCCTGCAAACCCTAAACCCTAAACCCCAAACCCTAAACCCCAAACCCTAAAAACCCCAAAAACCCTAAAACCCAAACCCTAAAACCCCAAACCCTAAACTGCTTAGGGCTTCTTCAAGGCCCCAGCTCATCTTTGTGTGCCGACGAGAGAGCACAGAGCCGAGACACCTCGGAGAGTCTAAGGAGATCCCCACCTTAAGTTGGAGGCCTCTAAAAGCTGGGAGGAAGGTAGGTTTAGGCTATAGGGTTTAGGGTGTGGGATTTAGGTTTTAGGGTTTAGGGTTTAGCGTTTCGGGTTTAGAATTAAGGATCCCTTATACCAGGACTCTTAATTTGGGATTACCCCACCTACCTTCGGGCTCCAGGAACTTTGACAGCAGGGCTCCTTTTCGGGCTCAGGATTTTAGGGGTTTAGGGGTTGACGGGATTGGGGGCTAGCGGCTTCGGGTTTAGATGTTTAGGGGTTGAGGGGTTTGGGGCTTTATCGGTTTAGGGTTTAGGTGTTCCGGGATTAAGGGGTTTATGCTTTAGGGCTTTAGGTTAAGTTTAGCGAGTGGTTAGTAGGGGATTTAGGCGAGGTCTAGGGGTTTAGGGTTAAGGGTTCCTTCAAGGGCTATATATATATATATACATATACATATGTATATATATATATATACCCTAAACCCTAAACCCTAAACCCCTAAACCGCTATACCCCTATACCCAAAACCCTAAACTCTCTCTCTCTCTCTCTCACTCTCACACACACACACACTCTCTCTCTCTCTCTATATATATATATGTATATATATATATATATATATATGTATGGGGCTTGAGGATCAAGGGACTTTCCTTAAAGGGGCTCCTCACAAGTCCCTGCAAGGTATATCCGGCGGCCTCGGGTTTTTTGGGATCCTGGGACGTGGGACTTTTGTCAGGATGCTGCTAACTAAGTAATGTTTAGTTTTAAGATTTAGGGTTTAGGGTTTAGGGTATGGTTCTAGCTCGTCATAGCCCGAATCCAGGTATGTAAGGCTTAGTTTGATAACCTTACTTACAAAGTCCCCTGATCCTTGAAGTAAGGGTTCTGAGTAGCTTGAGGCTGAAGGGCTCAAGTCTAGGGGCCTTGCCACCATAACTCACATCATCGATCTGGCGACCATTGGCATTGGGGTGACGGAACTTGGAAGGAGCCGCCCCGCTTGCCGGATGTACAACACGGCCAGGAAGTGTTCAACCAAGTTGTCCACTGGCGCGATGATTGTTTTTTGCACTCAGCTGCTTGTCTGGTGTAAATAAATGCCAAGGGCCCTGCATCGTGGTTTTCTGGTCAAGGGCGTCCATCACCACTTTCATGTCCAGCATCGCGCGGCAGCTACACAGCATTTGAAGAGCAGCAAGAAGGACATGACTGCCACGTGGAGATTTGTTGTCACTTCTGAGCTCGCACTTCCAGACAACTGCTTGAGCATGGCAAGTGCAACAAGTGGGTCGGGAACTGTAGCGACACTAAACCCTAAACCCTAAACCCTAAACCCTAACAAGTAGTATTATACAGGCATCCGTAAACGAGTCCGAAATTCGGATATGATACTTATAACCCTAAACCTCCGTGGTAACTACGTATTTACCAAGTCCCCCTCGACCCATTAAGCAGGTTGACGGGTTTAATGTTAAACCGTAGCAAAGCCAAAGCAACCTCCACCTGACATCACCTGAAATGCACAGTAACTGGACCTGCCCAATTAGCTTCCTTGAGCAAGATGGAAGCCATCATGAGTAGGGTTTCGGGTTTAGGGTATAGGGTTTAGGGTTTAGGGCTTAGGGTTTAGGCTTTAGGGTTTAGGGTTTAGGGTTTAGGGCTATATTAGCCATGGGAATCCTACACCCTAAATCCTACTACACCATACACCCTGAACCCCTTTACCCTAAGCCCTCTAGATCGATGGTTCCAGGTAATTCTTGGCCGACTTCTGAACCCCTCCAAAAAGTTAAACTTTTAGTCTCCTTATTAAGGTTCATATAGAAACCCAAAAAGTTAAAGTCCTAAGAGCCAACCAGAAGAACACCAAGAATTGCCAGGCCCAGATCCAAGTCCGGTGCGAGGTCGTCGATCCTCTGCAGGCAGTCCACAGGGACGAAGATGCCTCGCTTGCGTTAGGCTTTGGTTTAGGGTTTAGGGTTTAGGGTTTTTTTTTGAACACCTTTTTCCTCCTGTCAGGAAAAGGGGTTTAGGGTTTAGGGTTTAGGCTTTAGGGCGTAGGGTAAAAGTCCTACCTGCAGCCACTAGCATCTACTTTCTATAGGGCCCTCGTATAAACCCAAATGGGCCCAACATGCTTCTGTCGATAGACTGCCAAGGGTCGTGAGTTTAAACCCTCAAACCGAGGACCCTGTGCGGTTTGAAATACTGAGACCAGGGTTGTGGGGCGTTCGACAAGCCTGATATTGATCAACGCAAGGAAGAGCAGACCATCCGCAAACACACTGTAAGCCCCAAAAACCGCTGTAGACGGCTATACTGCCTACAAACCATTAACAACAGCAGACAACTATAGAACGCGCATAAAACCCCATCACGGTACACGGCCCGCGACAATCCTCTAAACTCAGTGTCGAAGGGCGTTGGATCTTCAGTGACGAGTCTTCCATTGCGGCTGCCTGTGTCCAGGTCTATGGTTTTTAAAGGGTGATATATGGGGCTTTATGAAGGCTTTGTAAGGATTTTTATAGGGTTTTATAGGTTTCTACAGGTTTTTTGCGTGTGATTTGGTAGGATGTTATTGGGTGCTGCAGGCCAGGAGCTGGAGGTGGCTAGTGTCGAAGGGGTGCTGGGCTTTCCGGGCAGCTCGGTCGAGTAAGATTTCGGGATTGGGTTTAGGGCTTATAGGGTGTATGGTTCAGGGGGTTTAGGATTTTGTTTTTTTTGGGGGGGGAAGGGGTAGGCTTTGGGGTTCAGAGCTCTAGGTGGCAGTCTCACATGCGAAGGACGAGATTTGGGCTCTTTTCAGACCGAGGCTGGGGACGGGGTGCTTCAGCAGAATTAGGATCCCCCGTAACCGAGGCAGAAAAAGCGCCCCTTGTGGTTTAGGGTTTAGGATTTGTGTTTAGGGTTTAGGGTACCTTTATAAGGAACCTACGGCTTCAAAGGGAAAAAGGGCCCACCGGAAAATCCTAAATAAACCACCCAAGTGGAGGTTCCTCGGCCCTAACCGACGAACCCTTAAGACTTGAGAGTTTTATGAATCCGATTGAGGGTTTAGGGCCTAGGATTTAAGGTTTCTATGAACCCATTCCGATACCCTACCACCCTAAGCCCTAAACCCATAAATCCTAAGTTTGAGCCGCTGGGCCTTACTTGCGCCAGCAGCCATCGCTCCAGTTGCAGCTGCAGGGCACACCACAAGCAGGCGAGCCCCCACCTCACTTTGGCGGAAAGGGTGTGGTCAAACTCCGGGAGGATCTAACAGGTAGATCGCCTAATTTGGGACCCTGTACTATGAAAGGGTCCTTCATAGGAACCACGTCAGTCGATCTAGTTTTGCATTTTCCCGAGGGTTCTGGAGCCTTACTTGGCCCTAAACCCTATGAACCCCATGCACCCTATGAACCCTCAACCCTAAACCCTATCAGCCCCAAACCCTACACCCGATGAGCGCGAAACCCTAAACCCTAAACCCTATGAGCCCTGTAAACCTACACCCCATGAGCGCGAAACCCACAACCCTAAACCCTATGAGCCCTATAAACCCTAAACCCTATGTGCGCGAAACCCTCAACCCTTTATGAGCCCGAAGCCCTAAACGCTGAAACTCTTAAATGCCCAGCCCCAGGGTTGCCCGCAGTTTCGGGTTTAGTTGTTGAGGCCCTCTCTTGGGTCTACCTGAACCCCGACGAACCTAGATGAAGTCATAAGGAGGAAGCATAAAACTAGTAACTAGGGGTTGTGTACAGTTCACGTAGGGCGAAGGATTTGTGGTTGCTTAGGGCGCAAGGCTTCGCTTCGGACGTTTATCAGGCAAAAGACCAAAGTCCAAAGGGAGATCTTGTTGTGAATGATCGCGCTGCGGGCTTTATGCAGGGGCCTTAATAATTAGACTAGGGTCTTGGGGCCCATCATACTATCATTATACTCAGAAACCCCAAAATAGTATAGGTAATTATTTCGGCCCTACATTAGGGTGTTCATTCCGGGTTATGGGGCTTGGGGATTTAAGGCGGAGGGTTTGAATGCAGGAGTTCGTGCAGGTGTTGCTGGGCGTGTCTTCCATGACACTACTTGGAGGATCTTGGGACTTAGTATTAAGTACCTTAATTGAGCTATATGTAGTTATAAGTATAATGACCATGTTTATAACCTCAGTTACTAAGTCCCATAATCCTTTAAGTAGTCGATATTCAACCACGCATCGGCTTGTGTAACGGGCACTGTTACTCCCACGACCTCCTTCTGCCAAGGTCGTTTTTTTGCTTCAGAAACACGGTAGCGTCTTGTTGTATCTACGGAGCCCGAAGCGGGGGCTCCCTATCTTGCGGAAGTCAAAAAACGCTGTATAATGGTGCTGTCCGGATCGTCACGGACGTTGTCGGTATGTGCGTTATCCAGACTACCTCACCAGCCGGCAGCCCTGGAAACCACAAATTGATCTGTAATGCAAGGCAGATGTGCTTCTCAGCTTGGGTGGATACAAGATGTGGAGCTTATGTTGAACTTGCACGTATGTTTGTCTCGGCGCACGTATGTCTGCATGTGCATACAAGGCTCCGTAAACAACCCGCCGAAAATCGTAAAATGGATCCCACGATGCACTACACCCAAGAAGGGCAAGGTGCAAGATAGGTATATACCAAACACGAAACTGACTTGATCCCTGACCCCTGAACTTCAACCCCTAAACCCTAAACCTCAAACCCAAAACCATTAATCCCATGAGCAGAAAAAAAAGCAGAAAAAAAGATAACTGGCAACCTGGCAGGTTCACGGCAAACTTGGGCTGGGCTCTAAGCACCGGATGTCTTTGACTTTGCTTGCAAAGTGTTTGTGGTGCTATACAAGGGTCCTAAATACACTATTCGCAATCACATGATGGTTATAGTCAAACTGCAGTATCATACCCGCCACAACCCAAGTCGACTTCCTCAGGCCCCGATATTTATACCCCGTTAAACACCCGTAAATCCCTGGAAAGCCTTCACTATTAAAGGTCACTATATCGCTCACAAGAGCTGGGGCAGCTGCGCCGGCTTCAAGCAGCCTCCTGTCACAGCTTGTGGTACTGTCTTGGATGAGGAAGTGTCGGAACATTCCAAACTGTATTTCTTAAGCCCTAAACCCTGAACCCTAAACATTAATTATCAGGGTTTAGGGTTCAGGGGCTTTGGATTCAGAACTGGGGGGTGCTTGAGGTGTAACTAGCGGGATTGAAGCCTGAATTCTAAAAACCCTATACAAGTAGAAGCCCGAAAGTTGGAACATCATTATCCTCGTGCCCTTAAGGTAAAGTATAAGGCATCCTTGCACTAATCATCCTAAATCCATGTTCCAACTTTCTGGGGTTCAACCACTAGAAACTATGGAGTGGCCGCGGCTTTACCTGTAGTCTCCTTTGTAGTTCCTTTTTTTTGGTTTAACAAATTATATATTAGGGATTTTACAGGGCAGCCCCAAAAAGGAACTACAATAGAGACTATAGGTATGGTCGATGTAGAGAAGTCTTGGGTCGTATAAATCTTGCTGCGCTCCATGCACCCGTGACACTTACCCTTCTGGCCTCTTTGGGAAGCTGAGGCATGCAGGCCAACCCTAAACCCTAAACCCTCAAACCCTAAACCCTGAAACCCTAAACCCCAAGCCCTAAAACCCTAAACATTAGACTTAGACCCTAAACCCTAAACCCCAAAAACCCTGAAACCCTAGACCGTAAGTAAGCATGAGACTCCACAGTTCAAGGCCTGTTCTTTAGTTTAGGGGTATACGGGGTGCTTTTCGAGTAAGTGCGGTACATGCCAAGGCAGCGCAGGCTTGGGGTTTCAGGGCGTGGCACTGTTCTCATGGTGTTTAAGGCTTTTTGGTTACGGGTTTAGGGTTTTGTTGTTAAGGCTTTAGGGTTTTTTAAGGCTTTTTGGTTACGGGTTTAGGGTTTTGTGTTAAGGGTTTAAGACTTCTTTGTTAAGGGTTTAAGGTTTAGGGATTAGGCCCATAGGCTGCAGCAGAGAGGTTCGAGACGAGGTTTCGGATCTTATCATTCAGCGTCGAAGGTCTTAGGCGTAAGGCTTGGAGCCTTGACGGCCTACCACGGCGTACCTTTTAAGGACCCTAAATTGGATGACTTGCTTTAACTCAGAAACTAATGTAGCTCAAAAAGGGTACTGCCTTTAGAGGTCCATAAGTAGAGGCCTACCCAGGCCTACCTTTTAAGGACCGAAATAAGGGCCCGAGTATAGCCTAAGGCTCCGGGATCGAGCTTTGCGTTCCGAAGCTCTGCAGTTAGTCTTGGGAGTAGGGTTTAGGGTCTAAGGTTTAGGGTTTAGAAGGCTGCCATATCTACTGCTGATGGAAAGCACAATAGCAGCGGTTTGGGGTTTAGGGTTTAGGGTAATAGCTAGGAATATCTTCAGCACCCTACGGCGCGTGATGGAGGATTTCGCCCATCCACAGTCCCTAAAGGGTCCATGTACTCATATAGTATATGGGTGGTTGTCAAAATTATGGTCCCTTTTTGGGTCCTTATTATAATACGGCACCTATTATTTAGGGTACCCCAAAAGGGACCCTAATTTTGACAACCACCCATATAGTATATACTTTGCTCTGAAGTCCCCATGCAGCTACTTCAGAACCAGATGCATAATTGCTATGATATGGATACATAGACACACAAACAAGTCCTATCATCTCATCTCTTACAACATTAACCCTTGTGGGCACCTCCGTCATCCAAAAAATACACATCCCACTATAATGGGTTGCCGTTTGCAATCTAGTAGTCATGGGAACCTGCAATGAAGGTTGTGCGTCAGAAGGTCTGAAGGAATCCGTTTGGGTTTGCAGGGTTAGCTGAGGATTCACGTGCAAGGCTCTGAATTGGAATATAAGAGGTTACAACTGTAAGCTTTAGAGTCTGTTCCCGTACCCTAAACCCTGAACCCTAAACCCTAAACCCTTGAGGTTTATGAGAACCTTTCAAGCTGCTTAGGCCGGCGCTGTACAAGCTGCACGAAGTGCCAGCTGAGCTGAACCTCTTCCTGATGGGCTCATGGCAGGTTGAGGTTTAGACTTCTGGCCTTGAGTCTGAGGGTTTGTCAGGGTTTAGGTTTTAGGGGTTTAGGGTTTAGGGTTTAGGGAAGGGTACAGGAACTTCGGAGGCTTGAGGGTTTAGGGTTTAGGGTTTAGGGAGTTGTAGCTTGAGGCTTGACTTTCAGGGCTAAGCGCTCGAAGCTGGTGCAACATTACTGGGGCCACGGTAGTTCGTTTTTGCGGCTAAGTGTTTCTATGGTTAGGATCCGGTTCTGAATTCGTGGCCCAAGACAGGAACTACACTGGAGAAACTTACCGAACCTTGAAGGAACGCTCAAAGACCTCCTTACGCGAACCGTTAAAGGAACCCCTATAAACTTGCCTCACCCCATTGAAGTTATTCTTACTGCCAGGGAAGGCAACCCACTTTTTTTGGCACCTCCTGGCTGCAGAAGGCACCGCGCGTGGGCAGCGCCACAGCCACCTTGCGGTTGCTATTGTGGTTTGCTTTGGGTCCTTAGGGTTTAGGGTTTGTGGTTTGCTACTCAACTGCTTTGAGTCCTTGGGGGTGAGGGCTTAGGAGTTTAACTTGAGTTTCTTCATCGTGCTGACGGTTTGGTAAGAATGCGGTAGTTGGTCAATTTGCAACTAGGTGCAGTATGTTGCTGTCGCAAACCTGTCAGGCTCGCTTACAACGGTTTGTCAGAGTTTGCAGGCACGCTGTGCTGTAGGTCCCTCCGACCTTTTGCCGAGGTATCACTGGGCTAAGATCGGAAGTCAGAGGACACCTGCTGTAGTTCCAGGTGGCGCCAGAAGAGACCTTTCATGAGCTACGATTGTCTTACTAATTACTAAACCCTAAACCCTAGTCTTACATAACAGGAGCAACCTGATTGTGAAACTGTTTGTGATCTTGACTCCGCTGTTGCTTCGGACAGAAAGCCTGCATTAGCATTTCAGTATCAGCCTTTATGAGGACCCTGCGTATAATCACTTCTGTTGATAGAGAAACAGCCTGCATTATCCATAAGGCACCAGGATGTTGCAAGAGGCGCCCATGCTGCAGAGAAACTGAAGGCGCAAACCCGGAAAACCGTAAACCCTAAAACCGTAAAACCCTAAACTCTACAGCCTAAAACCCTAAACCCTAAAACCCTAAAACCTAAACCCTGAACCCTAAACCATAAAACCCTAAAGCCCTAAACCCTAATCCCTAAATCCCAAACCCTAAAGACCTAAACACAAGTCCCTAAATCCTGAACTTCCCTTAAACCCCAAGGTCCCCCGGGATGAGCCGAGCTGCGATCTGCGATCCCTTCTTCGCGGCTTCCAGCGCCCTCTGAAGATCACCTGATGCTGCGTTTTCTCTTGGGGCGACTTGGGGTTAGGGGTTTATGGGGGTTTAAGGTTAAGGGTTGAAGGGTTTAGGGGTTACCTGGGGTTTAGGGTTTAGATACAGTGCAAATCCTGTGCGAACTGTATCACAAAAACACCTCCACCCTAAACTCTGGAAGGGGGCCTTCGGCGATCGCCTCCGAACTGAGCTTCAGGACCACCGGCGCGGCCTCCCCTGACAAAGGCCAAGGGGATAACGGCAATGTTGAGGGGTTTAGGGCCCCTAAACCCTAAATCCTAAGCCCTAAACACTAAGCCCTAGACCCTAAATCTTTAGGGTCCAGGTTTAGGCCCTAAGCCCTAAACCCTATGAGAAGGGCTTGGGGCTCGGACGGGAATGATTGATGGGGCTTAGGGTTAGGTAGTATTAGGGGTACCCCTTAAAGGGTACCCCTTCTGAACCCTACTTTTGGCTCTCTTAAAAGTCACCTTATTGAGAGGGTCTATATCCCCAGGAGTCCCCCTAATCCTAACTCCTAAACCCTAAACCCTAAACCCAGAACCCTAAACCCTAAACCCCTAGTTTAGGGTTTGGGTTCACCTCAGGATTTTAGCGTGGCTTCGAGAAGCTAGCTCTCAAGGTTGGGGTCTGGGGCTCGGCTCGCGGCTTCAGGTTGAAAGTTCGTCTCCCCGCGGCAGTCCATCAGGGCCTTGGTCGTTTAGGGTTTAGGGTTTTGGGTTTGGGGTTAAGGGTTAAGGGTTAAGGGTTAAGGGTTTAGGGTTTAGGGTTAAGGGTTGAGGGTTTAGGGTTTAGGGTTTAGGGTTTAGGGTTTAGGGTTTAGGGTCCGGCTTCGTGCTTGTCTCGGGAAGTGTGCAGGATGTAGTGGTACATCCATTAGCAAACCCGATGATAGTAGGGTGATGGTCGTGATGACACTGGTCATGTTTATTTGTACCGCTGCACATCAGGACGGTGATGATGGCGAGGCTGATGACGCTGATGACTTTATTCTTGATCGTGAAGACTATCTGGAAGGTAATGGTCATGATGACTAGGCGAAAGTAAACTACACGGAGTGATGCCAGGGTGACAGAGTCTCACTTAGGCTCCTTTGTCAAAGATGGTCCTGGACGAAACCACACTAATAATTGCAATGCTGACGATGCCAACGAAGATGGGAATGGGAATGAATGATGGTTTCTCTGAACACTAAACCCTAAACCCTAAACCCTAAACCCCTAAACCCCTAAACCCTACACCCTAAACCCTGAACCCTAAACCACAAGGCTCTGTCTACCAGGACGGCTGCGCAGCCGTGGACCTAAAAATCATCTTTGCCTGCACACGGGCATCCTGGCCGCGCGTTGCCCGGGAGATGGCTGAAAACGTCTTTTTGCAATCCATCCACACTTGGAGGATCTTGGGATTTAGTAAGTAGGGTTATAAGTACCTTAATTGGGATTATAAGTAATTATAGGTATAGCTACCTTATATATAACCTCAGTTACTATGTCCCATGATCCTTTAAGCAAGGATGAGAAAGTGACCAGCGGCCATTCCTCAGAGATGCTCTGCCTGCTTCGTTCCTCATCAAGAAAAAAGAGCACCTAAGGGTAACGCTTCTGCTGGTTATTTTCGGGTTTATCGGTTCAGCCTTTACCGATACCGTCAAACGCTACAACACAAACACATAAGGGTTCTTGAAGAGTTGTGAAAGCAGCAGTCTGCCAGGCAGATATCCTCTTACTGCTGGTTGCCGGAGATCCTCCCTGTGTGCAACCGTCCCAGCCCATGCACCCGGCAGGGAGAACCCTATAGACGCTAACCCGTGGTCTGCTGAAACTAAATCTCTAAGCCTGAACCCTAAACCCTGAACCCTAAACCCTATATCCTAAACCCCAACGTCGAATCCTGAACCTACTTGGGGATTGACCAGTTATCGGCGTAGGATACGGTGATGAAGAAGCAAAGTCGCGGCAACAAGAAAGATGGTCTAGGGTTTAGGGTTTAGGGGGAAGTACTTTGAGAGTGTAGGAAACTTTAGGGTTGAGGGTTTAGGGTTTAGGGTTTAGGAAGTCCTTTGAGAGTGTAGGTACCAGGTAAACTGTAGCTCTACAGGGCACCTTGCGCCGGGTTCTCTGCTGGTGTTGCGTGGTGCCACCGCCTCGGATACAGAATGGAAAAGAACATCAAGTTCCTAAACCCTGAACCCTAAACCTTTAGGTAGAGCCTCCATTGTAGTTCCTTTGGGGGGCTACCTTTTCGGATCCTTCATGTAAAACCGGCTAATGCAAAAAAAGGAACTACAATGGAGACTATAGATAGACCCTATAAACCCTAAAGCTAGAACCCTAGAACGCTAAACCCTAAACCCTAAACCCTAAACCCTAAACCCAAGCCTTACAGTAAACCGTGAGTCCTTAGAGCCTTACGGAGAAGGGGGATCTGCTTACATCTACAACACTAGCTACAGTCTCCATTTTAGTCCAGGGTTTAGGGTTTAGGGTTCTAGGATTCTAGGGTTTAGGGTTCTAGTTTTCTGGGGTTTTAGGGTTTAGGGTTCTAGGATTCTAGGGTTTTAGGGTTTAGGGCTCTAGGATTCTAGGGTTTAGGGTGTAGGGTCCACTGCTCGGGGAGGGTGAATTTCAAGGGACAGACAGCATTCGCCTTCATCAGCTCGGCCTTCACGTACTCATCTTTCTCTCTGATATGGTCCATTTTTGCTTGCAGCGCCTTGTCCTTGTCAGAGGAGGAACCAGCATTGGCCGAACCAGCCTGGCGCCGCTGTTTCCACTCTTCATCTGTCCATTGCTGTGTCCCAGCTTCGGACCGAGCCATTCTTCCTCCGTCCACTGCTGCTTCTTTTAGGGTTTAGGGACTCACGGTTTACTGTAAGGCTTTCCGGCCCAGAGACCATCATCACTGTGTGTGGCGGGTTGGCTGTGTGAAGCCTTCCTTCGGGATATCAACAATGGTTTAAGGCAATTGCAGAGGACTTCCATTTAAAAAGTTGCAGAAAATAAGTTTTCGCTTTAGGCTATACCTAAACCCTGAACCCTGAATTTTAGTACTTTTTGTTCAGGTCCCTTATGTTCGTACTAACTACAAATGTGCTCTTACACTTCAGAGGCCAGGTGCAGCAGGAACCCTCATTGTTTAGGGTCTGGGGGTGAGTAGATGGCCATGAAAAAAGGCCTACCTTAGCCTACCAAAACCGTTTTTAGTGGTTCTTGTTACAAACCCTAACATGAATTTATAGGGACCCTGCAGAAAATCTGGTTCAGGTAGGTTAAGGTAATGCATCCTGGTCCGGAGCTTTCTTTAGGGTTTAGGGTTTAGGGTACAGCTGATGACCTGAGGCCAGCACACAGCGTAGAGTGGCAAAGGTGCGTCCTCCACTTTCGTCTTGCTGCCGCTCCGGCTGCTGCTGCTGCCGCCTCACGTTCTGTTATCGCCTTTGGCTTTCAGAGTGCCCTACACCCAAAACCTTAAGCTCTACACCCTAAACCCTAAGCCCTACACCCTAAACCCACGCCCTACCCCCTAAACCCTAAACCCCGACCCTATGGACACAAACGTGCGAGCTTCGTCTTGGGACCTTTGATGTTGGGGACACCGGCCTTCTTGGGATTTAGGGGGTTTGGGTTTGGGATTTAGCGTTTAGGGCTTAGTGTTAGAGCTTAGGGCTGTTATACCTCGGTTTAGGGTTCAGGGGTTGGGAACCCAGGGTTTGGGTGTAGGATTTAGATCTCACTAAAGTCCGAATACCACTACACCCCCCCGTAAACCCACAAAATCCCTCAAAATAAACTTCACAAAAACCACTAAACTCAGGCTTTTGAGGCTTGGGACCAACCCTACCTATAGTCTCCAATGTAAGTCCTCTTTTTGGCTTAACCAAACTTATATTAAGGATCCTTAAAAGGTAGCCCAAAAAAGGAACTACAATGGGGACTAGAGGTAGGCCCCAAACCCTAAACTCAGAGCTTTAGGATTTAGGAGCTCTCGGCTCAAGGCTTCAGTTTAGGTTTTCCCAGTCTTGTGTTTAGGGTTCAGGGTTCAGGGTTGAGGGTTCATTTACGGTTTACGGTTTAGGGTTTAGGGTTTAGGGTTAGGGTTTAGGGTTTAGAGTTTCTGGTTTAGGGTTTCGGTTTTGGGCATTTTAGGCAGGCTTTAGGGTTTAAGAGTTTGGGGCTATATTTCATGAAGGTCTAGGGTCTACTTTGGTGTAGATGAACAAGCGCTCCCAGCAACAAGCCACAGCCCAAAACCTCAAACCCTAAAACCCCAAAATCGAATTTGAGTATCTAAACCCTAAACCCTAAACCCTAAACCCTAAACCCTAAACCGTGGGGATCCCTGGCCTCACCCTTAGCCGAGGATCGCACGCTAAACTTCAATGAACCCCCCCCCCCGCCCCCCCCGCTGGCACAAAATCGGGACTCTCACCCTGAATCCTACCTATAGTCTCCATTGTAGTTCCTTTTTGGGGCTACCCTTTAGGATCCCTAATATAAATTCGGTTAAACCAAGAAAAGGAACTACATTGGAGACTATAGATAGACCCTAAACCCTAAAACCCTAGAATCCTAGAGCCCTAAACCCTAAACCCTAGAATCCTAGAACCCTAAACCCTAGACCCTAGAATCCTAGAACCCTTAACCCTAAACCCTAGAATCCTATAACCCTTAACCCTAAACCCTAGAATCCTAGAACCCTAAACCCTAAACCCTAGAATCCTAGAGCCCTAAACCCTAAACCCTAAAATCCTGGAGCCCTAAACCCTAAACCCTAGAATCCTAGAGCCCTAAACCCTAAACCCTAGAATCCTAGAACCCTGAACCCTAAACCCTAAAATCCTGGAACCCCAAACCCTAAACCAGTTGCGGACCTGTGAGAAGTGCAGATGCTCCGAGGCCTGGAGGGGAAATGCACTCAGAGAGCCCGGCGTCGCTTAGTTTAAGGTTTATAGGGCTTAGGGGCTAAGGCTTTGGGTTTTAAGTTTTAAGGTTTAGGGTTTAGGGCTTAGGGATTAGGGCTTTGGGGTTTAGGGTTTAGGGCTTAGGGCTTAGGGTTTAGGGCTTTGGGATTTAGGGTTTAGGGTTTATAGGGCTTAGAGATTTTAGGGTTTAGCGCTTAGGGATTAGGGCTTTGGTATTGGGGCTTTGGGTTCTAGGGCTTAGGGTTCAAAGGGCTTAGGGATTAGGGCTTTGGGTTTTAGGGTTTTAGGGATTATAGGGCTTTGGGTTTTCGGGTTTCGGGCTTAGGGTTTAGGGCTTTTGGGGGGCTTTGGGTTTCGGGGTTTGGGGTTTATAGGGCTTAGGGATTAGGGCTTTGGGTTCTAGGGTTTAGGGTTTACAGGGCTTAGGGATTAGGGCTTTGGGTTTTAGGGTTTAGGGTTTATAGGGCTTAGGGATTAGGGCTTTGGGTTTTAGGGTTGAGGGTTTAGGGCTTAGGGATTAGGGCTTTGGGTTTAGGTTTTAGGGTTTAGGGTTTAGGGCTTAAGGTTTAGGGCTTGGGGTTTAGATCAGTCACGGGGTTTAGGGACTAACAGGCTCAGGGATTATGGTTCAGTGTCTAGAGAAACTCGAAGGCGAAAGAATGGGGCTTGGAGTTTAGAGTTGGGATTCCCAAAGGAAATGTACCTGAAGTCATCATGTGGAGCCCTATGTAACTTTAACATAGTAGTCTAACATAGTTTAACATAACTACGGTGCGTGCCTCAAGTAAGACCAACCCCCCAAACAACCAACCCTTCACTTAGTCCGTGAATCCGGGCGGCGAAGCCAGTGTTACGAAAAAGGAAGAAAAGGCCAGTGGGCCCGATCATTTTGAAGACTGGGGCAAGTTTGATGAGGTTTCTGGGGGAAAAGGTCCCTGCACAGCACAAACTCTGTACGGGGCCGTGCGTGGCTTCAGGTTTCCGGTAGAGGTATAACTAGAACGATATTCGGCGCCTCCTCTGCTCAGGGCCGAGGCTTCCTCAAGAACGGGTTGTTGGGCTCCATGGGTAGCAGGAGCCAGAAGAAGCGCGGAACTCTTCAATCTTGGGGAAGCCCACGCCCTAAACATGGATCAAACAAGCTCTAAACCTCAACCCCTGAACCCTAAACTAAAGATCTGAACCCCGAAGCCATGTATGAAGGTCAGAGAAGCTCAGACTAACCCCTGACAAAACCCAACCACAACACTTAGGCTGTAAGGTGTAGGCGGGCTGAGGGCTTAGGCTTTAAGGTTTAGGGTTTAGGGTTTAGGGTTTAGGGTTTAGGGTTTAGGGCGTATTGTTTAGTTTAGGGTTTAGGGCTTAGCCATGAAGCCTAAACCCCTAACCCAAACCCATAAACCCT